CCTTCTAGGTGAATAAACACTTTTCACTGTGCACAGAACACTGGCCAAAAATGATGCAACAGATTCTCCTGAGAGAAGGGGTTGAAAGCCTGTGGTTGTCAAGACATTGTTTCAGCTAAGAGCAGCATAGAACCTGGACTGCTTCATCCCAAACATCTTAGCATGACGTTTCTCCTTTAGGAGGCTGGTATGTAAAAGCAGAACTCCCCAGAGAAGGGCTGGCCCCTGATCAGCTGCATCTCAAGCCCGGGTTGTCACAGCCCAGCCCAGCCCAAGCAGGGCAGGAGGGAGCACAGCTTTCCAAGCTGTCAGCCAGAGTTGCAGCTTCCCTGCAGAAGAGGCTGTGGCTTCGTATTCGACCTCATCGAACTCAAGTTTCAGCACTCAGAAATATTTCCACATGCTCTGAAACAAGTTTTAGCTGAGGTGGGAGAACTTGAGCAGTTAGGGAATTTATTTTTCTCCCAGTTAGCACAAACATTGTACTATTGAGACAGAAAAATTCAAGAGAGTCTGTGAAACATGCCCCCTCTGCAGAGCTTGGCATTTTTGTAAAATATCTCAAGGAACCTTGGATCACTTTTTTTTTTTTTTTTCGTGAGGGCCTCTGAAATCGTCCACAACACTGATTCAAGCAGGAGATGGAGACTGCCATGGGTCAGTGAGAGGACTTCAGCTGGTGTTGCCCCCCAGGTGTGAGATCAGCCCAGCACCCAGTCTGACAGTCACAAAGGCACCAAGGCCATGAAGTACTTCGAGCCCTCTAAATTACCATGTCAGTTCATCCACACTATTAAAAAAAAAATCCAATCACAAGGAAACGTCATCCCTAACAAACTGAAACCTGACTGACTGACCCTTTGCTTTCAGCCATCCGAGCCTGGAAGCCAGAGCCTGCCTCCCTGGGGGCAGCAGAGGAGCCTCAAACGCAGCGCAGCTTTGGGGCCGTAAATGACCGTCACAAAGCAGCCCAGCAGATGGAGCAGAGCCCGGCACGTCTCCTCTCACCACCCCCACTTCTTACTGCTTGGAAAAGCAGCTCTGCTGTTTGCTGAAATACCAGGGATTTATCTGAGAAGAATCAATGTCTTCTCATCAGCTCCTGTTTTCTGAGCAGAGAACCGTCCTCAGCTGTCACCTCCCTAAAAATAATGATAAAAGCAACAGGCGAGGCAGGCAGGGGAACATCCGACTGTAGGTTTTGAAATCAGTCACTTCAATGAGCCTGTCACTTCGGATGGCTCAGGCTGAAAGATGGACTCCCACAAACACACTGCTACTTCTGCAACACCCAATTATTTGGAGACATCCTTCCCACACGTGGCAAGCTGGAAGTGCCCCAATTGCTCCAATCTGTCTTGCAAGGGATTTATTCAGACACTCCCATAAGGTTGCAGTTTGATTTAGTCACCTTAATCCTCACAGCTAAAGCCTGAATCCTCAGCCAGAAGGAACCTTTCCCACCTGACTCTGTTTACACTGAGCTTTTTAGGTCAGACTTGTGCCACCTCATGGTGTCCCTGCAGCCCGTGGGGGTGGCCAGGGCAGCCTGATGAGAAACATGCTGTGGGGCCAGTGCCCAACAGGCTGAACCACCAAATCACAGCATGTCAGGGGTTGGAAGGGACCTCTGAACATCATCGAGTCCAACCCACCTGCCAGAACAGGACCAAGTCTAGGGCAGGTCACTCAGAAGGTCTCCAGAGAAGGAGTCTCTACAACCTCTCTGGGCAGCCTGTCCCAGGGCTCTGTCACCCTCACAGGAAAGAAGTTCTTCCTCATGTTGAAGCAGAACTTTGCATTCTGGAGTTAGACTCCATTGCCCCTCATCCTATCACAAGGCACAAGTGACAAGAAGTTGTCCCTGCCCTCCTGACACCCAGCTCAACACATCCTTGCCCCTCTGCTGTTTGTCTCCTACTCTGGGAAACGTGAAACAAAAACCTTCCAGGGATTGAGGACTACCCAGAGTGCCCATGACAGGAGATGAACAACTTGAGGCAGGTCTTTGTCCCTTCTGGGAGAGACCCATCGCCACAGCAGGTTTTTCATTTAACTTCTCAACCTGCTGTCACCAACAGACTTGTAGTTACTCAGGGCACATCAGGACTGCCAGAGGGCTATCCATGTACCAGCAGGTATCAGGATGAAAAGCTGGCATTGCCTGGAACTTAAGAGACACCCGTGGTGACACCAGGCATAAAAGGAGGACAGAGTGTCAAGAACTGCTGTATCTTAATTATAAGTAAGTAAAATTAAGTGTTGTCAGCCACTATTAGAATATTAGCCAGCCAGTTTCTTTTCACTACTTCTGCATAACTCAACAACATTGTTATTCAACCCAATAGTTGCCAGCAAAACAGAACCATTTAGAAAGCAATTAATTCCCCAAACTCAGTTTTTGCAGAGCTAATTGCAAACCTTCCATTGCAGCAACTTCGAAATCCAAAAGCGCTTCCGGCTGACTGTGTGGAACAACAGCCCCAGCTGACAGTGCCTGTTTGGACCGACTGACACCACCGCAGACACGCTGTGCATTTCCTGACTCAAACCTGTCAGCTGGAGGGGACACCAACCTGCTGAAATGAAACCACTGCAAGCTCTTTTTCCACCCTCTCCTCCTGCCACCCCAGGCTCCTCACCAGCTGCACGTGCAGAGCAGCACGAGTGAGCAGCGCTTGCTTCATGCTGGAGAAAAATAGAAGAAAAGTCAAGAGCTGCCATGTTGCAATTTTTCTGTGGAAATAGAGACTAAGGAACCTTCACCCTGATTCCACCTGACCTCTGAGACCCGAGGGCTCACAGTCAGCAAACACAACTGCCAGCAGCACACCAAGCAGAGCTGCACTGCATCAAGGTGAGGTATCTTCATCAGAGAAGACAGTGATAGGACAAGGGGTAACGTTTTTAAACTGGCAGAGGGGAGATTCAGGTTAGGTATTAGGAAGAAATTCTTCACTCTAAGGGTGGTGAGGAACTGGGATGGTTGCCCAGCAAGGTTGTTGATGCCCCATCCCTCAAAGTTTTTAAGGCCAGGTTGGATGACGTTTTGTGCAACCTGGTCTAGTGGTGGGGATCCCTGCACATGGCAGGGGGATTGGAACTGATGATCTTTAAGGTCCTTTCCAACCTTAATGATTCTATGATTCTATGAAATATTTTCATCTCACCCCATTTCATCACAGGATCACACCTGAAACTGTGCATGGTTCAACCTCCTCCTCAGCTCCCCCAGACTGACTGTGCCAGCAAAGCTCAGCAGATCAGCAGCAGCAGAAACCAGCTGCATGGACACATTTTCAGATATCCACATATTATTTTTCCCCCCTCCATTCTGTAAAGGCAGAAGGGGGGAACACAAAGGGCAGTCCAGCTGAAGCAACCTGCCGGGCTCCCCGCCAGGGCAGCACCTGGGCTGACACACAGTGGCTAATTTAAGGTAAGAGGAGGTTGACAATGTTCAGGTGGCAACATTTGGCAGTGGAGAGTATTTCAAATATTTACGCAGCCATGCCCCTTTCTGAGGAATTGCAAACATTAGGGCTTTCTACACCAGAACTGCTGTACAGAAAGGCAAGAGCTATCAAGAAGGGGCTGGAAACTTCCCTTACTCATCCAAGTCAGGGCACTGAGCTTTGGGGAGCTAATTTGTGAACTCAAGGACCTAAAATAAACCACAGACCAGACCAGAGATAACAATGCTTTATTTGTACCTTTCAGCAACAGGAGAAATAATTGGAAGATGAAATTATCTGCTTTGTTGTAAAGTATAAAAACATTTAATTATAAATATTTAGCTAAAAAAGCGTGATTTATAAAATATAATCTGTGAAGATATATATACATGGTTTAATTGTTTAGCAATTCTTTCACCTGACATTAAAGAGTAGAGGTTTTTCTATTTATTATTCCACGCTCACAGTTTAGTGCTCACAGTTTAAGAAGCAAAACAGAGAAGTGAAAAAATTGACTGGTGAGTTTAGTTGTGGAAAGAAAAAAAAAATAAATGCATGAACTGGGGCAACAGCAGAGAGAGGATCTGAGCAAATCCTTGTTTTGAGAGAGGTCTCTGAGGGAACTCAGCTCCCCTGCCATGACCTACAGTGTATATATCCAGACAGGCAGTGGGCATTGAAACATTTGTGGGCAAGTTTCCTGTGTTTGCAAAAGAGAATGGTTAATAATACAGTGCAAGCCCTTCCCAATTCAGTGCAGCTAAACATGCTGACCTCACTGCTCTTCCCTCTTGAGCAGATTGCTCAGTATGCTGGGCTGGGGTTACCTGTCGTGGCTCTAATGAAATCAAACAACGTCACCGTCATGATGCAGGGCATGAACAAATTTCTAAACAGTAAATCCCAGTGTACCCTCTGATTGCACTGTCCAGGGCACTATCCCTTAAAAACAGATACAGCTGCCTAAGGCTGGAAAAGCCAGCGAGGCCCTACAGTACACTGAATGGGATGGAATGTGAAAGAAGATCCATGGTCAGGCAACTCAATTTACTGTTCCTCCTTTGGAAGCCTTGGGAAATCTCACCTCTTATGGACAGGTTGGTTACTATGGCACTTCAGAGAAGAAGGACTGGAAGACTCTCCAGCATGCTGGGTGCCAGAAGAAAAGCTACAGGAAATCATTACTTTGATTCATGTCCCTAGTAACTATCTTTCTCTCTTCACAGTGTTTTCACAGTGCCAGTGGCAGGGGGGGTTGAGAAAGAACAAGAGGGCTAGTCAAGGATGGGTGACAACACCCAACAGCAGTACAAACATACAGGACATTGAGCTGTGCTTTGTACACCCTGATTTACACAAGACCTTGCTACTTGCCTGCAAGCAAGGAATGAATTCATAGGGAGTTAAGAGAAAAAGGATGTATAGAAATGAAGGTAAGAATGAACTAGGTGAACACAGCACTTGTCAGTGCTCACCTGTTATTTGCTCCCTGCTGTTTCTGCTTCAGGGTGATGAGTTCCTGACAGTTCAGAGCAGACAGTACATACACAGCTCTTACAACTCACGTTGCTGTGAATGCACCATAACTGCAAGAGATGTCCCCTTAGGAACTCAGGAGGATCTTCAGGAGAGGAAGGCTAGCAAAGCTGTAACGAGTTTTAGGCAGGATCCAGGCAGATCTCTCCCTGGTCTGGGAAACGTACCAAGTCATGTGCAATCTTGGAGTGCATGTTGGCTTGTTGGTTACTGGGTAAATGCAGATTTTAACTCCCTGAAAGCTGCTCGGCGGTGTTTCCTTTCTTCCTCTTCCCTCTTCCGCTCATCCTGCTCAGCTTTTATCTCTGCTTCAAACTTACTGGCTGAAGAGAGGGCTTGAGCCTTTGCAAGAGAGAAAACAAAACAGTGTCAAGCTTTGCATCAGAGGGAGAGCCAGAGCCTGAACTACTCCTCGATGAGCAAAGCAGCGCTTGGGTGTTACACCCAATGCCTGGTATAGCTTGCTTGACTTTAACTTCAATAAAAGAAAGGTCATTTACTAATAAGCCACTAACAAGTGACCACAACAATGCTGTCAGCACTGGGCCACATATATTCTTCCTGTAAGCAGGCAGCACAGCAAAAGTTGTGAGGATACAGTGGGAGAAACTACTGCAGAAAACAGTTCTGAATCACAGCCAGATCTGGGAACATCATAGTGTACCATGGATAATCTGCAGATCAAAGAGACATTGTTTATTTGCTGGCTATTTTTCCAGCTTTCATCTCAGTACATCTGCTGTGCAATAGCTGCGCTACACTCTTGGGAAAAAAACTTCTTATATAAACAAGCAGGATTATTTTCTCTCCAAGGGAGCTTTCAAAAAGGGGGCTTTGTCAGCCTGGAATAGTGCAAAGCTCTTCCTGCCAACCCCAGGACCCTGCAGAACAATTTTGATTCCAAAGGTTACAGAGAAAAAGATGTCTGAAATCCTACACTCCAAAATCCTCCATTCACCACCAAACACAGAGCATTCAGGTTGGAGGAGGCTTTGCAAAATGAGAAACTCAGTCCCATTAGTTTCCAGGACACTTTTGTCTGCCAAAGCAGTCAGCCAGCTAGAACTGCCAGGCACAGGGACGCAGGTCACCCTGCCAGCCAGCTCTACCAGGGTGGAAGCCACCACAGGGATGGTGAATTAAGCCCTCCTAGTGCTGACTGATCAGCAGAGGATGGCTGTAGCTGGGGTCAGAAGGCTGTAGCTAGAGTCTCACATGAAGTTTGAAGGAAAAAGCTATGGCTGAGATGGGGGGGG